CAGTGATGGAAAAGTAGAAATAAAACATTAAATGGAACAGGATATGCTTACTTGGGTCTCTTGAAGCAGAAAACAGCTTTCTAGGTGTAGTCACAAAATCTATTGGCTTTTCATTTGCATTTGCCTCCAAAGATTCTGACAGCAGCATCTTAGGAAAGTTTGAGGGTAGGTGATCACTGCTGTCCTTTCCAGTTCCAAAATTCTAAAATTCTCATCATCACAACTGTTGTCAGTGTGCTTCCTGGCTGCTCTATGTTCATTTAAAAAAATACCACTTCATTGCCTTTTCCCTGTATACTTCAAATATTAGGATTGCGCATGTCATATATATTTCCTATATGTCATCACATGTAATAAACTAAGAGGACAGGACATAAAGAGTTTTGGAAGTGCCAAACTCAGGGTGCTTTCCTCCTGTGCCTGCATGCCGCTTGCCTTGCGGGCTGCCTTCAGGATATCATGTGGCACTGAGCCCGCCCAATCTTCTCAAGCTAAATGGGTGCAGCTTCAGAGAGCTTCCTTGGCCCCAGCTGTTTTCCGAAACGTATCCAGGCTTTTCAATGCATTGTCAAGAAGTCACTACACAAAGGACAGTGGAAATACAGAAAACCAACAAGACCGCCCCAAAGCGTTTTCCTCATATTTCCAATTCAGAAGGGCGAGATGACGGCTGCTCGAAAGATGTGGATGAGGAGTCGAATGGAAGGCATTACTGGAAGAGTCCTATATGTCTTAGAAAGAGAGGTCTTTCTGAGAACACACTGATTCGGGAGTCATGTGACATAGTCACCTCTGTAAATGGCAATGGGGCATTTTTTTCTGTAGGTGGAAGCACGTCAAGCAGAGCTTTCCTGAAACTCAATGCTCTGTATAAGTAAACTAAAAACTTGAACTGCAAGGCGAGCTTAAAAGGGCAAGACTTCATTGATCACTTTTATAGGACCCAAATTTATTGGTATTAGTGCTGTGGAAACTGCACAATGACTTTGGGAAAGCTTGGCCAAGAAATAAAATGTTGGAAAATACTAAAAATGTGTTACTCCTAATACTTACGTTTTTTTCTTGCCGCTCATTTGGACAGCCTGCAAGAAGCGTACATGACCCATTGGATAAATGAGAAAAATAGGTCTTAACTTTTAGTTTCTAATGACTAACCACTGATTTATAGTAAGAATTTTTCATTCATTTCAAATAAGATTTATTAAACGCCCCATGTTCTCTGAAGCTCTGTAGGTAACCTCATCAACTCTAAGCTGGAACCTTCTATAATATAACCCTGCTCTAGATCAGTGCTGTCCAATAGAANGACAAGACTTAGGGCATTTTGTTGGGGCAGAGAGAACTGTCTAGGATCCCCCGAAGCATGTCCCCTAGATGGCCACCTCCCCATAAAACCCTACCTAGACCCCTAACACCTAAGACTAGAGGCTGGTGTGGGACTCTCAAGCTGTTTGAGGCAGGTGCTCTTCTCACCCAGTCAGCACACACACTGAAAGCCAGACCTCATTCCCACCGGACTTGAAACCGCTACCATGACAGGATTTCATTCACAAGCAGGAAGAATATGAACTTCATCAGTGTATTCTCCTATGTACCTTTCATTTGGTCTCCAAAGAAGTTGTGCAGCTATAGCCAAATGGCTTGTCTCCAAGTTAAGGCACAACAGAAAATTTAGCATCTGTGAGTTTGGCTCATCTTTCAAATAAAGTGTAATGGTTGAAACTGGGATACACATTATCCAATGGCTTTGTAAACTTAAGGATTTGTGTCTGTTGGTTCTATCATACTTAATATTCAGGATATGAATTTTAAAAATAACTAATGCCAGTGTAAACATGCTTTAGGTACATAGGTCTATAAAATATTGCACATAAATATAAAATCCATTCAGCATTTCTTCATAGTAATTTTTCATTATTATAAAAAGGATACAAAATTGTGCAGACTATATGAATTTGGCTGGTCAATTTTACTTCAAAAATGATAATATTACACGTGATTATGGGTTATTTACAAGAGTTCTAAACATCAAGTCTTTGTGACCGTTAAATTCAAGATGATGGGGAAATAGTTTAAATAAAGATTATTTTCCAAAGTCATGTGCTATAAAGATTAGCAGTAAAAATGAGTAGTAAAGCTGGGATAGGCAACCCTAAAATCCTTAGGAACCCATTTTCTAAGTTCATCTCACATCTGTATAACTTGGTATTTCCTTCCTATTTATATTTAACATGTCTTCTCTGTGTACATAAAAGTATGAGGTATAGTAAATAGGTA